TATATGTATGGATTGCATTAAAGGAAAATAAACAAAATACATAAAGAAATGAGCCACAAGAAGCACCCAACTTCCTGAAATCGTACACACATGTGGTCCATTTGATGTAAACTCTTTCAATAAAGAGAAGTATTTCATCACCTTCATTGACAATTTCTCGCATTATGGATATGTCTATTTATTACATGAGAAATCTCAAGCAATAAATGCCTTGGAAGTTTATATAAATGGAGTGGAGAGACAATTAGATAGAAAGGTAAAAATTGTCAAGTCAAATAGAGGTGGTAAGTATTATGGAAGATATGATGAAAGTGGGTAATTGATCGATGTTGTACACGGTCAAATAAATAAAACAGATAAATGTAGTACTAGGAAGCTTTCCTAGGTCGTCTCCCAAAGACCACGAATTCATATCAAAGCTTGTCAATTTTTCGAATTAGAACAGAAACAAAAGGGGTGACTTTTCATATTTAAAATATTATATGAAACAAAACAAAAGAAAATTATAAAAATGTGGATTAAAAACATATTAGAATGCAATTGATTTCCTGATTTCAATGCAGTGTCATTTATCTTAGATTACGAAATTAATTCGAAATTAACCTACTAAGCGAAGATAAATCCCAAATTATATTCCAATCCAAAATTAGTCAACTAAGTGAAGATTAATCCCAAATTAGCTTTAGCCCTTATTCCAATATGAAATTAACCAACTAAGCAAAGATTAACCCCAAATTATCCTTATACAATTAAGCATTGCATACATCACATAATCTCATCTCTAACACAGAATTAAGCAAACTGTGATATTCGTTTCGATTTATTAAGCATAAACAAATTATAATTCAACACTGAGATTAGAAGATGAAAAGTTAGGAGAACAACCGAAATGAAATTGAAGAACAAAACCTCAAAGATCTACTTGCATTCTCCTCATAAAATCAATATAAAGATTTAGCTATCCATCAACACTTAATTATCACAATAATAAGAAATTGGAATTTAATTACGAAATTAGAATGCAATTAAATTAAGAAATTGAATTTGAATACTGAATTACCGAAATTTAAATTGCAGTAGGAAATTGAAAGTGAAAATTCAGAAAACTGAATATGTGAAAATTTGAAATTGCAATTGGAATTTGAAATTGAACCTGAACTGCAGAATTGAATACGAATTGTAGAATTGAAATTGAACAAAGTGCAGAACAAACCAAAATAAAATTGTACGTAAAACCCTAGTGTCGATGCTACCTCCATACGTCTATTCTCTACGTAAAACCCTAATCTCCCCCTCTTTATTCTTTCTCTGCATGGCTATTTAACCTAGGTTTCTCCAACTAGGCTCATAAAAATTCTGATCCACTCACTGCATTGGATGATCTAAAGACAAATTGGCCCAGAACGTAAAATATGATAAAATGAAACCCAAATCCAGACACCTGTAGGGCAACTTCCATGGTGGTTTTTCGTACTCAACTTTGGCCATCTTCCGGTTGGATCTGGACAATGCACGTGATCGATACATTTTTATCTTTGCCTCTTAGCTTTACAATGCACTTTGAATTTCTTAATTTGGAGTTTTGTAGCTCCAGATATGGCTTTATTATTGAGCAAAGGTCAAACTGCCAATAAATACGAAAATTAATTAGTTTTCCAATTAAGTCCATAATTCAAATGACAGTTAACAAACATCATACTACCACGAAATTAGGTCTAAACGTGAGGGTAATTAAGGCCATAATGATATGTATTTACGCAATAAAATATGTTCCATCAAATACCCCCATACTTAGCCTTTTGCACTCCTGGGCAAAATCATGAAATGCAGCAGAGCAGGGAAACAAATCTAAAAATATTTAAAGAAAATCATGCAAAGGACAAAAACACAAAAACATAAACAGATTTACATACTCCTTAATAAAACCTGAGAAACGAAAGGAATCGACAACCTCCAACATTCAAAGAGTCAAAGAAACCAGACATCTCTGGACATCGTCCAAATAATTCAAAACATGTCAAGAAAATCAATATGCTCAAGAGGTGAATGAAAATAAACATAACTCACAAGATATGCAGTGTATCACTCAAGTGTTTAGGCTACTATTTACTCTCAAAGAATCCATGAAAAACAAGCACCACATAGACTTGGCAAGCCTCTAAAATCAACAACCAAAAACACATACACAAAAGGATCAAAAGGTCTTTCCAAGGTTGTAATGGAGCAAAGGACAAGTGGAAGATATCATATGGGACATAGCTAAGAACCTTAGGAATTAGAAGAGCAATGGGGAATAAGTCAAAAATAATCATCAGAGCATGCTCAAAGACCTCTAATATCAATCCTTTCAATTTCCTTTTCCTCAACAACACTTTTCTTTCTTTTGAACTTCTTTTTAATTTTCACATTTTTTTTTAAATTAAATTGCATAAACTGTTCATTAAGGAACCAACTAGCCAGTATATCATCCAATGAAAACACACCCATACACTTATTCAGTTATTCCTAAAACGATTCCAAAGCTCCAAAAATCCCTAAGGTTAAGGTAATCATGGGTTTTTCACTTGAGGCTTGTAATGAGCTTTAAAAGAAGTAAAGGGAAACATAGGCTCAAAGGGGCTATCAAGGGAATTGATTCAGGGTAGGCTTATTTGGTTAGAGGTTAATCACAACAAAAATTTCCTTAATCAGCTCCAAACATGCATGTGAATCAAGAAACATAAAAAAAGAGTCAAGCCAAGGCCACTGTGCAAGAAATCAAGAGGCATTACACACAAGAAAGAAAGAATAGAGAGTGACTCAAAACCTTACATAGGGTAAATCTCTCACTTCCAAATTAACCTCTCAAACCTCAAAATCAACTTGGCATGCAAAGAAGAACAAGGATTTCAATCCATAAAGTATCAAGCAACTTATATCCAAGAGTGAAGAAAATTCCCAAAACCTAAACAAAACCCAGAAATTCAAGAGAAGCATGCAAATTGTACACAAAACAAAGAAAACTAAAAATCTTAAACAAAGAACAATCTCCCCCACACTTAAATCAAACATTGTCCTCAATGTAAACACAATCATATCCACTAAACAAATAGGACAAGCAAGATAAAAGAGTTGAAGGAGAAAGAAGAACTCCCTGATCATGGTGGAAGAGAAGTGGGATCAGTCAGGGATATCTAATCCACAACTGCATCCACTAGAGAAGGATTGCTGAGGAATGGTTTCAATCGATGCCCATTTACTTTGAAGCTGTTTTCTGTGGATTCACTTTTGATTTCAACTATACCATAAGGATAAATATTAGTAACAACAAAAGGTCCAATCCACTTTGATCGTAGCTTACCACCCATGAGCCCAAGCCTAGAATTATACAATAACACTTTTTGGCCAACCATGAAGTCTTTCCTAGCTATCAGGCTATCGTGGAACTTCTTGGTTTTCTCTTTGTAGAACTTTGAGTTCTCATAGGCTTCCAGTCGAATCTCATCTAGCTCATTAAGTTGAAACTTCCTTTCCTCCCTAGCCTGGTCAAGTGAGAAATTGCAATTCTTCACAGCCCAATAGGCCTGATGCTCTATTTCCATAGGTAAGTGACATGCATTTCCAAAGACGACCCGATAAGGTGACATCCCTATGGGTGCCTTGTGGTCAGCCCTATGCGCCCAAAAAGCATCCTCCAGTCTGTTGCTCCAGTCCTTTCTGCTCAGCTGGACAATCTTCTCTAAAATCCTCTTGATATCCCTGTTTGAGATTTCATCCTGCCCATTAGTTTTGGGGTGGTAAGGTGTAGAAACTCTGTGAACAACCCCATACTTTTTTAGCAACACCTGCATAGACCTGTTACAGAAATTGGTACCTTGATCACTAACAATGGCTCTGGGTACTCCAAACTAGCAAAAGATGTTAAATCTAACAAAATCCATCGCATGCCGTCCCTTTCCGAACGATCTGAGGGGGACGTCCTCGAGACGCTCACCTTGCTACAGCCACGCGAAAAGATGGTTTAGACCGCGTATTTGTTTTAAAATGTGTTCATTGCTTCTGAAGGTGTTCGACAATCTGAATTATCCTCTGAATAAAAGCAAGGTTTTCGAAAGGGGTTCTGTATGGAGTCGCCACCAATATTTTGACCAGAAACATTGGAAAAGGAAAAGCAAAGGCCGTCGATTTATAATAAAAAACAACTTGGCCATTATAACCAGTAGTTGGGTAAGGGAGTTAGTTACGTGTGGGGAAGGTGTTAGCACCCCACAACGCCCCTTTCGGTTCCCTATGACGGATTAATTCATTAAGTGAAGATTATGAGAAATTACGCGATTACCCTATTTTATTGCATAATATTGAAATGACTATCTACATAATTTTATATAAATAAAGCTAAATAAAGCAATAAAAGAGATATTAAAATGGCTATCTACATGATTTTATTCTACATGACATAATAAATAAAATAAAACAATAAATAAAGCAATATAAGAGAAGGGAATTGAAAAGAACCTCCGTAGCAAGCTTTATATCGAGAGTTTAACTATGAGGCCGCCGTTTTGGCAACCCCTCTCTATAGAGACTCTCCTATGAGATAAGTATCGACTCCCACTAAAAATTTAAAGAAGAATCAAATGCCGGAATATAATTCCCTTAACCCAATGGTTACCTATTTAAGGCAATCCGAACACCATTTAGAGAGGAGACAGACAAGCAAGTGCTCTAAGTGCTTTCAAGCTCTTGCAGGAGTGTTGGACTTGCGAAAAGTGGCAAATGAAGCCTCCGATCGCAGTAGTTTCTGCAAAGCCCGCGCACTGGCTGGGACCACCGTCTGGGCTCTGCTGGGAATCCCTTGCCCCCGTACGGGACGGCCTGCCCCAAATGCTCATTTTCACACAGGCCAGACCACCAGGCACCTACGCCTTGTCCCCACTCGAGATTGGCCTTGTGCCCGCTGCCAGTTCCGGGAGCCGCGCTGCCCACTTGACTCCTGGAGGTTGGGATGGCCCTGGTACGGCATGACTCTGCCCGCGTTCGGGACGCGCGCCTGCCCGGGGATGACCTGCGCGTTCTGGGACCCGCGCGCGTCCTTGGCACGGCCTGCCGCGTTTGGCAATGACTGCCGCGTTGGGCCTCGCCTGTTGGCCTGGTCTGTCCCGTGCCCGTGCACCACCTGCGCGTCTGGGACGACCCTGCCGGGTTCTGGCACGACCTGCCGCGTTCTGGGGCAATGGACCTGCCGCGTTCGGGTAACCGCCTGCGGTATTGGCACCACCTGCCGTGTTTGGCACCACCTGCTCGGTTTGGCGTCACCTGCCGCGATCCGGCACGCACCTGTCGGTTCCAGTACCCCTGCAGCTTTTCCTTTTCCTTTTTCCGGACATACACTCCACGTCAGATGTGTTGTCCGCGAGCTCCACCTTCACACAGCAGTTCTCGGCCTTCATTAAGATGCCGGGCCAGCTCCCGCCTCTGCCTAGGAGCCTCTCCTGGCTTCTATCCGTGTGAATGAATGAACTTCCGCCTCTTGCCCGCCTGGAGGTCCTTTCGTTTCTGGGAAGCCCCACTAACTCCACCTTCGGTGAGTTCCTCTAGCTTTTATTCCCAGAGGCCGGGGAATGAGGGGTCTACAGCCGCCCTCGGCCCGTCGGACCATCCTTCAACAAGGCCGAGAATTAGCTTGGGTAGGGAAGGAGTTAACCCTTTTGCCGCCTGATCCTTCCGATGAGCGTCCTTGTCTGATCTCCCTAACCAGAAGATTCCAGAGGAACCCATCCCCATCCAGTTTGAGCCTCCTTTTATAAGGCTCTGAATGCAGTACCCACCCCCACCTGTACGAATCCCATCTTTGCTAGATTCTAGTGGTTTTTATACTTCCACTCTGTGTGAACCCGCATATCTACTAGGTTCTAGTGGTTTTTACACCCCCACTCGGTGCGACCTGATTCCACAAGGTTCCATTTGTATCAGTTGCATTCTACGACTCTAATGGTTTTCACACCTCATTGGTGCGACCTGATCGCAAGGTCCAGTGGTTCACACCCCCATCGGGTGCGAACCTGCACTCGCTGACAAAGGTCTCAGTGGTCTTCACACCCCATCTTGGGTGCGAACCTTGGATTTCTTACAAGGCTCAGTGGTTTTCACTCATTCGTGGCCAACCTCATATTAATGAGGCTGAGCTGGTTTCACACCCCCATCTGTGCGACCCCATCTTCCGAACAAGGTTCAGTGGTTCTCATCCCCCACCTGGTGCGACCCCCATATTCCCACATGAGAGGGCTTTAGTGGTTTTTGAGACACCCTCATCTGTGTGTCGAACGCCTATTCTCACAAGGTTCTAGAGTGGTTTTCACACCCTCACCTGGTGCGAACCCCATATCTACTAGGCTCTAGTGGTTTTTAGATCCCACCTGGGTGTGAACCCCATCTGACAAGGTTCTAGTGGTTTTTACACCCCCACCTGTGCGACCCTATTCTAACAAGGCTTCTAGTGGTCTTCACAATCCACCTGGGTGCGACCCCATATTCCACCAGGCTCAGTGGTTTGACACCCCATCTTGGGTGCGAACCTGGATTCTACAAGGTTCTAGTGGTTTTTATATCTCCACCGGGTGCGACCTGCATATTCACTAGGCTTGCTGGTTCGGACACCCCACCCGGGTGCCGAACCTCATTCTAACAAGGTTCTAGTGGTCTTCACACTCCATCTGGTGCGACCCCATATCGACTAGGCTCTAGGCTGGGCTCTTTTACGCCCCCATCTGGGTGTGAACCTGCATATCCACAAGGCTCATTGTACGAGTCTGCATCTGACCCACTCTAATGGTTTTTACTCCACCTGGTGCGACCTATTCTTTAACACTGCTTCGATCCGTCTGGTGACGTTTTTTATCATGCGCCACGGGAGTAATTTGATTTTGACTTTCTCGCGCTTCAGTCATCCGTTTGCCCTGTATTTTTCTGCTTCTCTGGCTTCCCTTCAGCCATCCGCTCTACCTGGGATTCTCCACTTCTGGCTTTCGCTCTCAGCCATCCCTTCGCCTGGAACCTTTGTTGATTGCCTTCTTTAAGGCAGCGATCACTTGGGGATTTTGTTATTTCGATTTTGCCTCCTAATTAGGCGCGATGTCTCATTCTAGCAATATTTGTCTCAGGATACCTCTGAGTAGGCGAATGCTTTTTG